GGGGGGGATGCTTTTCAAAAGTGTAAATTAGGCAGTGTTTGAAATTAACCATTCAGTTTTGCATATGTAGTGTTGTGTAATCTACTGTAGTCTATATGAGTATCCTTGCTATATTTTTGTTTCATGTGTCCATAGTTTTTGCTTACTAAATTGTAGGACTGTAACTTCAGCTTCACTATAAAAACACAATTGCTTAAAATGTGTTTTCCTACTCTAACCAAATCATTGTTCTTTTGGCTCAGCTTGTTTGTACAGAATAAACTTAGAGCAACATTTTATTTGTTGTTTGTTTATGAATACTGTAAGGACATTAGAAAGATAACTGTAATTACATTGTAATTGTATGTATACCAACTCAGTTATTCACATTTTAAAAAGAGTTTCATGAAACTTGCATATTATTGCTTCTACTCCAAGTGGTTTGGACCCCATGTGTACCAAGATATATCCAGGGGTCATCCTTTACTGAATGGACATGATGGACATATAGCTTTGGGATTTGATTTCTTTGAACCTATCATATTGTTGTTTAATCTAAATGAGATCACTATTAAAAGATTTTTGGAACTAAAGATGAATCTTGTCAAAAAGTTGGGATTGGATCAGACTTTATATTGCAGGTATCATAAGTAAATATAATGGGCCCTTGAGTGTTTAAACCGTTTCACAAGATAAGGATTGTGTGTGAATTGTGTGAAATGTAGCTAAAGAGTGTCTGGATCAGGGTAAACTTTAGAGGTACAATTAAAGATGAAATCCACCAGTATTGTACATCAAGTCTTTTTACGGGTCTTGAGGAGTACATCTGTATATGTGAATGAACTTCTATAAAGCTTGTTGTGGTTCTGAGGAAGCTGCGTGATATTTGATCTCTGGTTCTGTTACATCATCATAAATCTGACATTAATATGCAATGCAAAATCACTTTAATATTGTAAACAGAGTCAAATGAATCTCATAAATAAAAGTTATAGTCTCACTTTAAGGTTATCAACACTGACGAACATACACTTTTGATGGCATAGTGACAATAACTTGACTATCCAAACCTTGTTAAGTTTCTTTGTTATACTTGCTCATCACTTACATTGTTCTTTGTAACAACCTCCAGCAATGCTACAGCCCTCTCTTTCCATCTTTCTTTAATATTCCTCTAACTGCAGTTACTCATCTTTGAAAATCTTGAAACAGTGGCTGGTTGCACATTCCTATGCTTCAAATATGCGGCCAACAGGGCTTATTAAAAAAAGACAATCAAACACACACAAGCAAATAAACACCCGGCTGGAGAACAGCTCTGTTCATCCCTACTTCAAAATGCGGTAAAACAAATAATTTAGCTACTCACCAGAGGAGGTCCTTGCCATTTAATTTACTTCTGTTTGACCCTGATTGGTTTTGTCCTCCAAGTGCATGTTTGTTTGTTTCATGACTGTTTGTTCATTCTGTCACAAGATAACATGATGCGCATTACCACAGCAGGGACAGGAGATGGTGCAAATATTTTTACAGAGCCTCTTCCTCATTTGTATCAATACATGCATATTAGCACGTTCAGCTCATAAATATTGACAGCAAACAATTAGAAAAATAACTGGCAGAGTGCACTGAGATGTATAACACTCGCCATCTCCGCTGTCCATGGTGCTGACCGTGATATACACTAGGTACCATTTTCTATCTGATTATGCAAAATATATTTTGATATACTGTATGCACCCTAATGACATTTGCAGCTTACTGCAGTTGAAAGCTTTGAGAGTGATGTATTTGTGCAAAATCAGTTCATGCATTAACTAATGACTGCTAGGCAGTCTTATTAAAAGCGTTACCCAATAATTCATCATCTGAGCTGCTCACATCCCTTACCACCATCTGCATTCTCTTTGTGGAATATAGTTTATTCATTCATTCTCTTTTTTTCATGTCAGCTCAGGCGAACAAGCCTCTAAAACATGTCCTTCTACCTAATCCTGTGCTTTGGTTGTCAACATCATTGTTTATTCACATCTCACAAGTAAAGCTGGCAACCATTAAACACACACTCACACACAGTATAGTGCTGAGGTTAATTGTTGCTTCGCATCTCTTTCTCTTGTTCTCTTCGGAGGTGTCATTCCTCGGCGCTCACCACTTTCAGCTTAACAAAGCCAATGTCATTAATCCTTTTTACATACTAATTACTTGATCTGCAGGGTTTTAAGAGACAAAGGGCTACAGACTGGAAATTCAAACCAAACAGTTTACCAATCCATGGGCTATGGTTGTTTAACACAGTCTTAAGATAATCAGTCCCTCAAATATCCTGATGTTTGACCCAATGATTATTATATGGATTGTAATTTTTAAACCAGCTGTTAAAATGGCAGTGTATCTCCCTCTGCAAATGTTGGCTGGTACCTTTGGTGTGCTACAAAATTAACTCTTGGGTAATGATATTAAATTACAAAGTGTAGTCTTACAAATATTAATAGCATTTCATTTAAATCTAATGGAATTTAATGTCATATAATGACAATTATGTACACTTGTTTACTATAAGTGAGCAAAAATCGGATGAGGGGTTTCTCCTATATATATAAACAGAAAAGACAGCATGGAGTTTTCTCTTGCTCTACACTGGGTCCTTTGTACTGAGCCCAGATTTGACATCAACTGGGTCAAACATGAGGGAGGGAGGGAAGGAGGGCAGCAGCTGGACCCGACCATCAATGTCACCCTTGTTAGTCAACTTCATCAATGTCAGTCACTGCCGTTTCAATTTATTTCACTCTTTTGTTTGTGCATACCTCTCATCTCTGTGTGTTTTTGACTATGTCGCTCTGAGGAGCCTCAGACCTGTTCAGTGTATCATGCTGACATCTTTCTACAAAGACAACACATGTGTGATGAGAATAAACAGATTGATATTGAAAATTAATGAAATTTCACCCACCCTCCAAACACATATGCACAATAATTTAAAAAAATCTGTGCTGAAAACATACAAAACTGGCTGAATAGTTTTAATGTTCATTTGCGTTGTGTATATAAAGTTAAGGAAAATATAGTACTTTTGTCTTTAAAAATGAATTATTTTTGATTTTCCTAAGTGTATAAACTGAGTTAATTTACGCATGCAAAACCTGCCATTCTTATTAGATTACCCACATATTTAAGTGTAATCAAAAGCACAAGTATTAGAACAGCTAAAATACAGTGGCTGTCAAATACCAATAAAATAAAAATTCATATTAGAATTTGTGACCTACTCTCTCTGTAGCCAGCCATGACCCCCCTGGCTCCATAAATAATGACTGGCAGCTGAAATGGGACTTTGTGACTTTAAGATGTGATTCGAGGAGATGTGGTCTATCCATTGTTGATGAGACAAAAGCGCGAGTCAGATTCATATAGGAGTGGCGGGGAATAACTTCTCATATCACAGTCACAAAGCCACCCAGCAAAACTTCAATAACCTCGCACCTCTTTCTGGACATGGGTGAGTGCACAGAATTTTTAATAACTCTTATCATCTATTATTGATATGATTTGAAAATGTGAATTTCAGTAAGTTACTAATGTTGCCTTTAATATGTCTTTTCTGTCCTTAGACATCATGTTGCCCTCATACACTGTGTGCAAGATTTGCTGCAAATTGTTCTGATTTATCAAAAATATTTTGGATTCTTAATTTACTATTGTCTCACTGCTTTCTTCCCCCTAATACACAATATAATTTAACATACAATGATGATTTCAGAAGACTGAAAAGAAAAGAGCACATGAACTCAGCCAGGATTATTTCAGTAGAGAGAGAGTAAAAAAAAACACTTCCTCATTTCCTCTAACCCTGTTTAACCATAAACTATACTGAAACCAGAGTGGCTGACAAAGATGGGCAGTGACTTTCAACATGCTAAGGCCGTGTCAGGTCACTCATGTGAAAGAGGTCAAATACTCCCATGTGTGTCAGTATAAATTAATAAGCATCCATGAGAACTGTGGACCCAAACAACTTCTGCCAACCATGTTTTCTCTCTTACAAACAACTTGTTCACTAACTCTAGTTTTTTTTTTTTTTTACAGTTTTGGAGTTTTGATTGATTGTCTGGCATCTACTGTAAAATGTACTGATGCATTTTCCACTGAATTCAAATAGAGGATATGTTGGCCTGCATCACTGTTACCACTGATACAGCAGGGCACAGCTGAAGCGTGGGTGTCTGCAGGCACCAACATTTTAGTATTTTAGTAACAGCAATCTTCCCGCTGTTACTATTTATACATTAGTAGCAGTTTGTTTAACTTGCAGCTTCTGTTTGTTCCAACTAAAATCCTAGCAGTTGTGGGATAACCCCAATGATTTATCATAAAGGACTATTTTAGGCACCTAAAGATTTCACAGTGTGTAGCAACAAAACTCTAACATTGAGAAGGGAAGTTGTTGTTGTTGTTGTTGTTGTGAAGCTATTCAAATGGCCCCTCTCATTCATTATGCTTCCACCCACTCCTTGAACATTTGAACCCAGCCACCACTGGCATTGACACTCAGTGCCATGGTACCAGTCTCAGCCAGCTGTGGATGGAGGATGTCCTTAGGAGTGACATTGCCAGTGGTGTGGAGACAGTCCTGGTGACCCCCCCTGCCACCACATACTACTGTGTGTGTGTGTGTGTGTGTCGTTGCAGCACTCTGGTCTTTGTTTGTTTGACATCGCTGCCCTTTGTTCCTCCCTAATCATGGATAAGACAATGGATATTGTATCTGCAGCCACAGATAGAAGCTCTTTCTTTAGGGGCCTGAACCCAGTGCTTCACCACCATCTCTCACTTGCCTGGTGACGCCTGTGACCGCTAGAGAAAGAGGGCTGGACCAGCGTTAGTAGGATCTGAGCTGTGAGGTGTTGGTACAAGCAGACGGGCTTTTACATACGGATGAAATCAGTGCAGAGAGGCTTATTTTATAGTAGCAGTACCTTATAGGCAGCACTGTACGTCACTAGTTTTCACTGGGATCTTTCTTGTTGTGGAATACAGGATCAAAAGCAGCAAATGTTTCCGGTCAGACAGCCTTGGCTTTGCAAAGCCTTAGGTGCTTTCCTCTATCCCATTTCTGCCAATGCATTTATTAACACTGTGGATATTTGCTACCTGCTTCAGCAGCTCATCTTATGCTGGAAGAAGTGCATGAGATTGTTGTGAAGTCAGTGGTGACTGCTTTTGTTTGGACGCTTTATTGGGAACTGCTGCTTGAACTCTTGTTTATCCCTGCTGTCTAATTTTTGGTTCTGTTGCTTTCTTGCCTGTTGGTGGGGTTTGGTGTATGCTTATGGATTTGCAGGTAGAAGGAGGCCTTTTTCATAGCTCCTCCACAGGATGAAAGAGTCCCCCACTGTGACATAGATGTGTTGTGTGGTTATATGTGCGGTCTTTGCCGCCTGTGTGCTGATATATTATGCCCCCTCAGGTTGTTATGATTGCTGTGTCCGGTGCATTGGGGCAGTGCCCTACCCATCCCTGGTGGCCACCTTGCTGTGCTATGCTGGCATGGCATTATTTTGTGGCTGTGGGCACGAAGCATTGTCACAGACTGAAGTGCTTGTTGAGACTTACTTCGCCCGCAACATTCAGGACTATGTGGTCGTGGCCTCCTTGTGAGTAATGCTGCATTGAATTCTTTCAATTTTTACTTCTTAAAAATGTCTTCATTTTACTGTTTGACTGACTTCTACCTGTGACTATCTCAGTATCAAATATTCCCAGTATGTGATCTATGGCCTGGCATCATTTTTCTTCCTCTACGGTATCCTGCTGCTGGCTGAGGGTTTCTACGCCACAAGTGCTGTCAAGCAGACCTTTGGGGAATTCAGGAGTACCCAGTTTGGCCGCTGCCTCAGCCTGACGGTGAGAACATGGAGAGGGCGGGCAAGGGGGTTTGAAAAGGGAGGAGAAATATGACGTCAGGTCATTGTTAAAATTCTGAATGCTGGTTTGTTTTAGCTCCCAATCTGAATAAAATGCGCTTTGTATCAGCACTTTCTACACAGAATCATGAATTGTGGCTAATAGCTGATTTAATGACAACACATTTATCACACTGAGACCTGACCTTCTATGCCACATTTCTCTGACTTTATGGACTTCACTGTTTATTTCAACAGTTTATCATAGTGACATACTTCTTGGCCTTCATTTGGCTGGCAGTGTTTGCCTTCACTGCTATCCCAGTGTTCTTCCTGTTCAACATGGAGCAAACGTGCCACGACATCAACATCCTGGCTGAAACAACCCCCAGCATTAATCAGCATGCCTGGATTTGCATGGATGCAAGGCAGTATGGTGCGTTGTTCTTATAATGACTGACCACATGTCCACCTGAAGAGAATGTTAATGTGGCCTGAGTTGATCACTGAGGAACAGATGCAAAGCTGGTTGTTCAGTTAGTTATAAAATAATGTGCATAACTTTTCCTTTATCTTAATTTCTTTACCGCTATTTCACTGATATACTATATCCCTATGTAGGAACTTAAATGCGTCATAACTCATCATTATTCAGCAATGGTAAGAGATCCATCACTTACGTAATGTCTTTGTTTAAGGTCTGCTTCCTTGGAATGCAATGCCAGGCAAGGTTTGTGGAATGACCTTGGCATCTATTTGCAAAACTGGTGAAGTGAGTAGAAGAATCCATTATTTCCTTTTGCACTGTTTAGTATTTCATGTCACTGTCCTCATTAAAATTTGTAAGCAGACTCAGTGTAAAATCCATTCTAAATTATTAATGGATGGATGTGGACAGTATGTGAGCATTTTTATATAATTGAATGACACAAAAACACAATCCTCAGAATGCTGTATATATTAAACTGACCTGTATTATATCTTACAGTTCTACGTCACCTATGACTTGTACATAGCTGCATTTGCTGGTGCCGGGATCACTCTCTTAGCACTGGTAAGCAATTGATTTTTGTTCAGGTTAAATATCTCTTTTTATATATTTTAGCATCTTATAGTAAATACCATCAGTTGAACCATAATTAAAAGGTCTGTTTACTCAAATTCGAAATAAAAGGCAACAGTTGTAATTAGCCATCCAGGTAGTTTTTGGTTTTATTTGGTCAGGATATCTGTCTATAAGATTTCAGCACTCACCCCAATACAAAGGAGCTGAATGAAATTTGGTTTATGGTGCTTTGGTATTGCTGAAAATGACTGAACATCTCAACTGTGCCCGTTTATGATCCACCAGCCTTGCTCTGACCCGTTTTCAGTAGAACCACTTTCTACTAAGGAAGCAGTTCAGTAAAGTATGTGAATTATTTGGACTAACAAAGTCAGTTTTTATTGTGAGGACCACAAAAAAAAGTTTAGCACCTCTGCTGTAATGTAGCAGCAATGAAAATACCAGAGACCTCAGACCATGAACAAGTCTAAAGTAAAACTGCCTGCATGGATAGACAGTGGTGGAAAGTAACTAAGCACATTTACTCAAGTACTCTAGTACAATTTTGAGGTCTATATTTATATTTATATAGTTGAGTATACCCATTTTCCACTATTGATTTTATTACATCTCAGAGGGAAATGCTTTACATTTTACTACAGTGCGTTTATTTGGTACTTTTCAGAATCAGGATAATAAAACAAAGTGTAATCATAAAACTTTACTGATCCCTAGTGGGAATTTATATAAGGTAACTAACATTAGCTCCACCTTTACCAGCTGCAACATTAAAGTGATGAACACAATAATTTAAGTCATGCCCAGTAATTTAGGAGGCATTAATGTGAAATTCCACATAATGACAACTTTTTCTTTTGCTACTTCACGTAAATTTTGCTGATAATATGTTTGTACTTTTACTTAAGCATCATTTTGAATGTAGGACTTTAACATGTAAGAGTATATTACACTGTGGTATTTATACTTTTACTCAAGTACAAGATCTGAGTACTTCTTTGTGTATAGATACTTCTAGGAAAATAAGTTTTCTGTAATTGGGGTGACCTATCTTTTTATAAAATATGTGTCTGTGACTTGTTTGCTTGTCCACTATGTTTATAATTATCATAATTGTACAAATACATTTTCAGCTTTTTTCCTATCACTTCTTCCGCCTTCCAAATTAATGTCTTCTTTTACAGTTTTTGTACATGGTTGCTACCACCTACAATTATGCAGTCTTGCGGTTTCTGGGCAGGAAAGGCATCCGCTAGATGCAACATTTCCATCCCCACCAGCCTCATCCTCTGGCTATGAGATGGACATTCAACACATGCAACATTTATGTTCACCCTCTTGGAAACAGCAACTTCCAAACCTGGATCACCCGCTAGTATTTCTTGCCAATAACAGACAAATGTTTCTCACCAGTGTATGAACAACTGACAGAGAGATGAAGATAATTCAGCCCCAGCAGAGGGCTCTGGCCTTCTCCTCAGATCCTCTTCTCAGATGATTCTCTTAGTGTTGTTGTTCATTTTCTTCCAGGTTCTAGCTCTCATTTGATCCTTTTTGTGAAGCTTCACTGGTGCTGATGCTGTTGTCAGATTGTGATGTATTGTGTTTCATGAAAAAATTTAAAGCTATAAGAGCTCACCTTGCAAATCATAACAACATAGCATGCACACCATTCAGTGTTTACTGATGCACATATGAATATGATTTTGCTGCTGCTTAATTTTCACTACCTTGTGTGTCAACATTGTGTAAACTAAAGGAACTGAATTTGAATGTTCAAAAAAATTTAAGTCATCTCTCGCTTTGCTTTCACTATCAACACAGGTACTTTGCATTGACTCATGCATTCATACTGTGGTGTAGGGAGGAGACAAATATTTGTATCCATTTTCCTGAAGGTATTTTGGTTGCTGCTTAAAATAAGCTGTTTTTAAGTCACTGAGATGCTGATGCTTCAGTAACTTGCCTCCAGGTGGCTCATGCTTGATGTGCAGCACTGCTGCTTAGTGTTGTGTGGGTGTTCATTTAAAATTAAGCCTGATTAAACAATCTAAATCTGTACAGTATGTTGTAATAATAAATGCTGATTGTAAAGAATTTCATTTATGCATCTCTGTCAGTTATTGCAATAAATGTTGTGTTGCAAAACCTTTTCACAGAATTCTTAACCTTGACAGTACACTATGCTCTAAAAAGTGTCAGTAGGGAAATTGTTTCAAAAGACAAGATACAGAGATAAGGTGCCAGGGGTGAGCTTCTCACCCAAAACAATACATTAATCACTGTTTGCTTGGAGTCCTCTCTGACTACATGTTTAGACTTCAAATCTTGACAGCTTTTCGAAAGCAGCCATAACAGATGATGAGGTGGTCATGCAGGAACATGGGGGTTAGCAAATTTCCCAGGTCCTTAGCACAAATGCCACACTGCAAAACATACTCAACATTAACATAATGAAGTGACAAGAGCATGTCAATCAATATACATAACCACAAAGCATGGACACAAACCTTTAGGCAATCAGGGTGGCAGAGGACCAGAGGGTCACTGAGTGTGATCTTTGTATTTCCATCAATTATCTTGTCACAGTATGAACAAACAGCTTTGCCATCCCTAACGCAGACCAACAGTAATAAAAAAAAGATTAACTTGTTAATTTTGCTGTGTAAACTTTGGGTCTATACTATAAAAACATACTGTATTGTGCTGCTACTGGCATTAAATGATTACTTTTCTTAAGTATCATAATGTTTAAAATTCTAAGTTGTGATGTCTTTAAAGTGCAACATTACCTGGTCTGTTTCAGAGTGTGAGTGGATCGTAGCACATCCCTGGGCCTTTGAAACTTGTCATTGCTACAAAAAACAGTCATCAGCAAACATCCATCCATTATCTATACCGTTTATTCCTGTATTGGGTCACTGGAGCCAAGCCCAGGTGACACTGGGCAAGAGGTGGGGTTCACCCTGGACAGGTCACAGGGCTGACATGTAAAACATTTAGAGTCACCAATCAACCTAAGCTGCATGTCTTTGGACTGTGGGAGGGAGCCAGAGTACCCAGAGAAAACCCACGCAGGCACAGGGAGAACATGCAAACTCCACACAGAAAGGCAAACAATATGATACCTTTCATAGTGCATGTGAATATTATATGAAAAACAGGAAATGACATATTGGTCTGGTTTATAAGAGTTTACTCACCTATTCCAATTATCATACTGCTTCCATTTTGACTCCTCTGAGTGGGATTGTTTTGGATCTTCCACAGATTTAGGAACCGCTGTAACTGTGGGTGATTCCACATCCAATGCATCAGTCAGTTCAATGGCTTGGCCAGGTAACTTATCTCGATCAGCTCCAGCTTCTGAGGAATTCTTGACTCTCAACTCCATCATACGATCTGCTGCATTTTTGGGTTTTGGTGCAACACTTGGCTTGACTACATTGTTATTGATAGGTTGGATCTTTTCAGCTCTGGTCTTTGGACGTGGGTCTGCTGGGGCTGCAGATATGTTTTTAGACTCTCGAGATCTGACAGCACTTTCAGCAGCAGACCGAATAGGTGATTTGGGTACTGTAGCAGGGTACACATTGTGTTGTAAAGTAGTCTTTCTTTTTGGTGTTACAGTAATTATAACAGGGGTCTTAGGTGATGACTCCACCACAACCTTAGCTACAGCTTTAACAGTTTCCTCTTTAGCCTGTGCAGGTTGTGCTGTTGATACTACACCTGCATCCTCCAAATGTGTTGTATTTACTGGTTTTGTATTGGTGGATGGTTTTGCTTGCGGTTTTGGTTTGGCTGTAAAAGCAGAGACACCAGAAGGATCTTTACTGTTGCGTGTACCAGTCACAGCAGAGGTATTTGCAACCTTGGTCTCACTGTGTTTCACACGTGACTGGTCAGCTAATGAAACATATTCTCTCTTGTTTTCCGCTGTTGTCTTAGCAACTGATTTTTTTGGTTGTGCCTCACCATTTCCATTTAGTTCTCTTGTGGATGCTTGGGGCCTGTAATAGACAGTCAGACAGACAGACAAAAATCCCTCAGCATCTTTAAAAGTCATACTCGTAGCTACATTTAGGAGAGAGATGCTCTCATATACTAAATTTGTATCATCTCTGGTCTCCACTGTTGATCCCTTGGGCAGATCATATTGTTAGGGAGGAATAACTTCACTTTTTGCCTGATCAGCTGAATCACTAAAACAAAAACAGAAACTTGCAAAATATAGTGTATCTGGCATTAGTATACATGGTTTGGTTTATATGTTCACCCTTAAATGAGATTAAAAATGCAAACCTTAAATCAACAGTATTTGAAATATTACAGTTTTTAATTAAGATTCTGCACATACATGCCCTTCAGATGGAGTAAAGTGTGTGTTCTGGAGATGAGGGTTACAAGGAAAATCTTCTGATCTACAGGGTAATAATAAAAACACCTTGAAAAAATGCTTGGTATTTACCGCAGACATCCTACCAGACAACAAAGCTGCAACAAATTTAATTTAACTAATTAATTCCTCACTACTAATTTAAAATTCTTAAAATTCTTATACTTTAGTGATGTATCTCAATCCTGATTTTCCTTTTCAATATATGTGAAACCTGTGTATAACCTGCACAAAAACATACAGTTTATTTTAAAAAGTCTGATCTGCAGAGAGGCTGAGCACAAGCAGATATACATAGGCCTATAGGATAGCAAATGCTCCAGTTCCTTTCTAAATGCACACATTTTTTATTTTACTTTATTTTATTTTTGCCTTATGAAACACAATGAGAGCCTATTGGACTGAAATTCCCTGTGTGTTTAAACATAGGTGGCCAATAAAGCTGATTGTGATTCTGATCCGATGGTGTTAATAAGATAGCTTTTATCTCTAAAATTAAAAAATGCAGCTATTTTGGAATTATGTGTATAATATACTGCTCAAAAAAATAAAAGGAACACAAAAATAAGACATTCAACTATTTGTGTTCCCTTTATTTTTTTGAGCAGTATATATTGTATAACATGACTTAGCGGCAGTAGTTTTTTAATATTTTGTTGTATTTTTATTTCTGTTGTTATATACATACTTACTGTATATACAGTGTATGATAAATATCCGTAGAGCTGAAGCCTTATTTTGTAACAGGAACCTTTATACTTTTATTTTGAAGACAACTTCACCCAACATCCGGTTTTGTTCCGTTGTCTTCAGGCTTGAGAAGCATCAGGTTCATGCTAGGCATGGAAAAGCATGATCCGTCTGACATAAGTGTGATCGCGTAATTTCGATTTCGCGTATTCCATAGAAATGTCGCGACTGTAGAATGAATACTGTCACTTGATTCGTGTTTAAGTGTAATTTTGTGTCTAAACCACAAGGCTTCAGAAGTTTACAAAGACGTTACGGAGCGCGGTGTCACCACCAACACAGGAGGAGTTGTCTCCTGTGGTTGTATTCTGTCTGCTAATAAAACTTAGTACGACGACTGCCCAGCACCAGTAAGTGCCAAGGTATTTTAACAGATTCCTGTGAATAAGGACAGCTTTGTGACAAAGTACACCTAACTACAGTAGCCTTTTTAGTAGCTACATTAGCGGGTAAAGTTAGCTTCCGATTGGCGAGTAAGGGATTTGGAGCAAGATAGTTATTTTTCTGTTTTCAAGTATGGAATATATGTGTTATTGATGTAAAACTAATTAAACTTGTCCAGGTGTGCCAGTGTTTGATGTACAGTTGGTTAATGTGTTCTGGGCGCACTAAAAGTAACATACTGACTGGCTTTCTACCTTCATAAGTAGGTTGGATATATAAACTTATAGTTTTTAGTGTCTTAATGTTTGTTTGACAACTTTGTGGCGATAAAGAATCAGTAATGTTACCATTACGCTTTATTTAACTTCACCTTTAGTACATCAGCTTTGTGCATCCATTTCTGCAGTAAAAATGGATGCTGTCACATTAGTAGGCCACAACAGATGAGACAATCAATGTGAGATAGTGACATAGTAGCTGGGCAAGACATTAAAAAGGCTAGAAAGGGCTGGGAGCTGTCAGTGCCTTATGGCTGGCAAGGGGAAGTGTGAAATTTATTATTTTAATTAAGTGATGTCAAAATGGGTTATTGGCTATATCTGGTTTTGTCTTTGTAATAATGAATCACTGCTATCATTTTGGTTTAATGCCGGCATTTCCTGTGCCATAGAAACAAATGCCATCCAGAAATCATCTTGATAAAATTGGGAGGAGGAAGAAGAAGAAATGGACAGAGGAGGCCATGGAACGTGCGCTGGTCGAGGTGAAGTCTGGGAGATGCACCGTGAGACAGGCTGCCAAGGACTTTGGGGTTCCTAAATCTTCACTGGGGGATAGAGTCAGTGGGCGGGTGACGCCAGGGAGTCGCAGCGGGCCAGCTCAGCTTATAACCGCTGCTGATGAGGAGCTGTTAGTGGAGTTTTCCTTATACATGTCCAAGCATGGATTCCCACTTACTAAACAGCAGCTGGTGTCCTTTGCCTCATCCATTTATAAGCGGCAGCACCGTAGGGTGGCATTTTCCAAACTGGGCCAGACCTGGTGGCTGAATTTCCGGAAACGGCAGGAGAAGAACATTAGCATTCAGCCAGCAGACAGTGTTGTCCGTGGGAGGACAGTATGTGTGAGGAAGGAAGCAGTGGATCACTTTTTTCATTTACTGAACAATGTCATGGACACTCATGGGCTCAGAGACAAGCCTCACCACATCTTCAACTGTAATGAGACAGGCTTTCAGCTGGGTAGGAAAAGGGTGAATCTCCCAAAATCTGCCAGCCTGGGCTATAAGGCAGCACCAGGCTCAAGAGACCACATCTCCATCCTGGCTTGCTTTAGCGCCACTGGTAATGACATTCCACCTTATATTATTTACTCAAAGGCCTATCCAGGGGGAGTATGTTACAAGACACAAGGGCCGCCAAATGCCCTCTATGGATGGTCAGACTCGGGATGTATCAACTCTGACCTCTTTAAGAAGTGGTTCCTCAAACATTTTCTTGTACATGTGGGTAAAGAGCGTCCACTGCTGCTGATTTTTGATGGCCACAAGTCGCCTGTGAACCTCGAGGTGGTGGAGGCAGCTCGTAATGAGGACGTCATCCTCCTGTGCCTTCCATCTCATTGCTCTCACATCCTGCAGCCGCTCGACACAGGTCTCTTTGTGCTCCTGAAGCAGCGTTTTGCAGCACTCATAGGTGACGGTTGTGCCACTGATACTCATTTTGCAGTAAGCAAAAAGGAGTTCTCAGGTGTATTTAAAGAGACATATCAGGTAGCGAAGGAAGAGGAGGGTGTTCAGATTGTCAGGGAAGGCTTTAGAAAATGTGGCATCTACCCACTGAACCACTTTGCCATCAGTGATGGTAATTTAATGCCATCGCACAACATGGGCCCAGTGGCTGGACCCACCTTGTCCACAGCAGCACAGGTGTTGCACACTGTCGGAGACCTAACAGGTGCTGAACCAACCTCGTAATTCATTACTACTCATGCCTGTCATCAGCACTTTTGAGTGATTGACTCCATCATTCAACAAGATCTGAATGAACACAGACTAGTTCTGTCATTTGAAATACTGAATGGTTTTCCACTCTCTTTCTTGAGTATCGTGCACCACCTCCCCCAGGCTCCCTGCGGAGCGCTCTGTTTGCCAGGCCACAAAGAACAAAGGGCTGTGTTAGTTTTAATCACTTGTCAATATTGTGCTGAGATTTAGTGACTGAGTAATATTTGAATGTTGCACAACAGTGTATTCCCATTCTGTGGGGGGTCCAAGATAAATCTAGAAGTGTCAAAGAATTTCAAATATGGGCTTTGTTTTTCTGAGTATTCTCTGATTGTTGCTTGTCCTTGTTGAAGTATTGGATGCTTTCTCTTCTTCTGGCATCAAAATCCCTCACATTAAACTCAAGGAGAAGGAAAAAATGCGGTTTGGTTGAATTGCTCATGTCCGCATAAAGAGCTGACGTAACACAAGAATGTTCAGGTTTTGTTCCAGAAGTGAGAGAGCATTCAAAATCCTGTTTTCATTTCATAATAACTAAAAATCCTGCCTTGGAACAGTTTTTCTGAACAGTATGTGTTGTGGCTTGCTTTGTGTATTAGATAAGTACAGTAGGGTTTATTTTTTAAACAATCTATTATTGTTGTTTATTCAGTACTTTAAACTTTTAGTAGCCTTTCCCACCATTTCCCATAAGCCCTAGATGTTTGTGGGCTGAACGTCACAGAAGAGGTGAGTCCATGAGTGAGCTGAGGTCACGGTTAGTTCAGACGTCAGCAGTACAGAGAGGTCCTGGTAAGTTTTTGGACAACAGAGAAGCTAAGACACTTCAAGACTGACTTTAGAAGAGGGTGTTGGTGAGTTTTATGGATGAAATGAACTTGTGAAGCTATTAAGTACCTGTACTGTTGCACTGATAGTTTTTTCTGATGGAAGTGTAGTTTTTTTTTTCCTCTCTATGCTCACAACTTTAAGTTGCAGTGAAATGTAAACCCCAGGAACGTGCTTCCTTTTGTTACAAAGACATGAAAGAATGAGAGATCGCACTGAGTCACCGGAGCTAGTGGAACAGAGGCTAGCCGGGACCTGATGGCAGGACTTTGACTCTGTCTTAAGGCCTGTGACAAGGTGTCAGAAGTAAATGTCACAACCCAAACCGGTTGAAAACTACCGCTCTACAACAACTGTCATTTTTCTTTTATGAGATCGGCGCCATGCCAGCTGGTTAACGTAGCTTCCATCAAGCAGTATGAACAGACATAGTGCTGTGCTTGATTTCAGTCACAGTGGATCCTTGACAGTCAGCTGGTTCGCCTTAATGTTCTCAACATGCTTACAAAGATACAAGGACAGATCAGATCCTTACAGAAGACATACAAACTAGATCGCTTCATAAAACTTAGCGCTCCTTTGTGTTGTTCAAGCCTGCTGTGAAACAAACTACAAAAGGCTTTTCTTTTTTTTAAATGCTGACAGAAAGGAAACAATAACATCTGAAACTGCTAATTCAGTTTAGTTGTGAATCTTTTTTTACTTTGAGTAATCTGAATGAGATTAGAAAATGATGAATGTACCATACTCTTTCAAATATTTAGGAACTACTGAGGAAATTGAGCCCTTGTATTAATTTTGGGAGGAGTGTCTTATTCATTATAATATTCAAATATGTCATGTTTTCTATTTTCTCAGTAGAACGGTACAGTATGACCTCAGGTAGGAAATTCAGAATAAAGGTATTTTTTGAAATACTTTGCAGCAGAAATGTCTTTATACTCTTAATAATTTACTAAAGGGGGCTGTAGTTGTGTGTGTTAAAGTCAGGTGATGCAACAGCAGCGCAATAGGTGCAACTGGCAACAATAGCCATGCAGGAAACACTACTCCTCTATGTCTTAATAATTATAATTACTGTGTAAAAGTCAATGAATGTTTCAGAACACTTTTACAGTGTATTTAAACTAAGTAACTGTGAATACGACTTATTCATTTATAAGTACTATTTTACAGGGACTGTGATTATGTGTGCTCAGCAGTGAGATAGATTTAACACCATTGTTATGATCACTAAAAGGTAGGGCTGGTAAAATATTTGTACAACTCAGACTGGGGATTTATATTGTAATAATTTTCATTAGAAAGCTTTTGGCATTAAATGGCAAATATCCAGGTGTTAAAGCAGTCCCTGTGTGCCTTGAAGGGAAGTATGCTGGTAAGGTTTTTATTCAGATGAATGCCTCGGTAACCAGAAGCGTAGGTCAGCCTGCAGTGTGCTGTAGATCTTTATGGATGCAGCAGAGCTCAATTAATGCCTGTGTTAATATTACAGATGGTGATTTGCGCCTGAAGCCTGAAACATTTTAAATTATTCACTGACAGTCAAAGGACACGGTCAGTTTCTCTTATCCAAATGCAGTCCCAGCAACACGTTTTTAAAAATTTCTTTACTGCATTTGTCCATCCAAAAAATTTTGTTTTTGCACTGCTTACTCTTGGTCCAGTGGATTGTGAAGAAAGAGAGTAGTGGTGTTAAAGAAGCTTAGTAATTTGTTTCTTAACACTAAGATATAAGCATTTACACTCACCAGCCACTTTATTAGGTACACCTGTACAATGGATTCACTTCAATGCAACATCTGTGTTTATGAAGCTCTAAATGTAGTTTTGGTGAAATTGTCATAAATGTATACATAATATATTTATTATAGCGGTCATAGTTAAAAGTGGTTTTGTACTGCACTACATTATATTCGGAGGTGTGTCTATATTTTTGTCTCCCCCCCCCACACACACACAGAAAGGCTCACATCTGAATATTAACACTGTGGTACTCACTCAGTCCACTTTGCTGTGGAGAGGAAGTATGACTTCTGCCTGACTGGAACGGATGTGGCCTCCACAGCACACCCCATCCTGCAAGACAAATGAAACTACTGTAAATGTGCAGTATGTTTGTTGCACTTTTTGTCTCAAATGAAGTGCTTGTCATGTAGGACAAGACAAAACTACCGTAAAGAGGATCCCACAGCTTGTGTACAGGAGGAGTGTTGCCTTGCTACACCATAACATAGTAGTAAGGTTGAGGTAAACAAAATGGCTTCATATACCGTGCTTTGTCTGGGTTTTCCTCTTCCTGTTTAGATTTGTGGATCCAGTAGCCATCATTCTTCAGAGCAGCCCGCACCCTGGTGTTTTGTAAAACCTGGTCTCTGTCCAAATCTACAATGCACACACATTTTAGGTGAGGATTTTCTTGGATACCAAGAATATTTGCATGACATTTAATCTTATAAAGGGATGAAACATGGATTCAAGTGTGAACTTACATTTTGACATGATGCTGATATTTTCTGAGATGTTGAACCTGGTGAAATTATTTAAAAATTAAAAAGTTAACATTTGCTGTAGGTTTGTTTCTTGAACTTCCACACAAACTAATCCCTGTGTACAGACCTGTGACATTTTGTATCTGCTTACTTTGTATTTTTCTCCCTGCATATTATCAGATATCAGACCTGTTTAATGTCCCAGCATCTCACACACAACCTGTTAAACTGCATTCTGCATGAAAACACCTCCATCAGAATGTTAAATGTGAGGTTAGAATATTTATTGTTTTCCATTAGCCATTCTGGACAACTATTTACTGTTCAGTCTGAATTTTTAGAGCACTGAAAGTTAAAATGGCATATTTTGTAAATCATTTAAATGGATGTGTTTCCTAATATAAACCCTGTGCAAAAATGCCATCGTGACAGAATTAATAGGTAACGTTCTTCTGCACAGATTCACCATCACAGTGAATGTTAACCCAGCCAATGTTTACAATCATCCTGTGCTTCTCGTCTGTACTGTCTTTGAGCTCCTGTTAACATTTTTCACCTGCAGTTTCTTATGATGAATCTTTCTAGAGATGTCCCAGCACCAGTTACCCAGCTAAGATTTATTATGCATAGAAAATGAAAACAGTTCTGACTTTGTAATGAGCTCTTACCCTGCATAGTCAGCGAACATGAAATCAGAATGAGGTCTCACCTGTCAGCTGTACTTGTTAGTGTTGTCCGAGCGGAGTGGTGTCGAGCCTCCTCTGGTGTGTCGTACTGCATAGACGGGGAGGTAGAGAGACTTTACCCTGGGTCTCCACCTCCTGTTATTGAAGTGTCACACCTGGATGCTGCTATGCAGGTGTGATGAAGTGTGTGGGTAGGTTGCTTTCCGTGACATTCATGAAGTGGGTAGACAGTTTTGTGTTTCTGTAAGTGTGAAATGACTCATTCAAGAGCTATCTTCCAGAAAAATGTTCACAATTACAGAAGAAAAAAAAACTAATTTATGCATTTTTCTTCACACTTTTCTAATGTGTGTGACAACCGTACACTATTTAAACCAACCCTACAATTTAGCACTAAGAAGTGAAGGTTTTTCCACTGATGATGACCTTGTACACTACACTACACTCTCTACACTATAAATGTTGTTAGAAATGAAAAATTATAGCTAACTAGAAGAAGAAAATTCACAAGAAACCATTAATGTTGCGTCATTTTTTTTTTCAAACTAAAATATTCTTTCACAACAATGCTGTTCCAGTTGGGGAGATGATAGGAATCAAAAGAAACCTGATCTTAATCTCCCTGGAATTTAATCTTATGCCTTATCAGAACCTTTTAATGTCATTCACAACAGAATGCCTCCAAGTGATGTGAAACTCAAACAGGCACACACACAATAGAAATGTAACCTTGATCTTTTTTTATGTAGTCTTTTTACATGTCACAGTTTGGTCTGTGGATCTCGGACTGTCTATATTCTCCTCACTTCCTTTGTATCAGGATGGTGGCAGAAACCTTAGAAGCAGATCTCTCAAACCCTAGATAGATTAAACCACAATCTCTGCTTGTGACAACTTGAGATAAATCAGAAAACATTTTGTATAATTCAGGTGAACTTTGGTGATTGAAACCAAAGATCAAACAGGGCAGGAGTAACAAGCACAGCACAACTAGCTCACCTACAAATGCACAGGTGTGGTCACTATATAGCTGATAGAAAATTATTTTCACACTGTAAATACACATATACATTGGGTTTTATTCTCATGTGGATCTTTTGCACTTGACAAAGTAAAATTAGACATTTTAGCCGTCAAAACTGTATGGAATCCAGATGAACTTCTTCTGTTGGTTTGCCTTCTTGAACCTCAGCCAACATTTTCAGTAAAAATTCTTTGTAATCATATGCAGTAACATGGTATCTGAACAAGACAGCCGTTGTTAAAGTGATATACCACATACAATAAATACAGAACTGCCAGTGTAATACCACAAAGAAATATGAAGGTACATTTTAACTGTAATCAATTAAAAAGAGAACATTTTAAAAATACCTTAACTTACATCTTAATACTAATATTAAGAATTTTGCCAGATTCTAACTAATCTATTGTGGCTACACAGCAAAACAATAAATACTGCATGTGCTTTGTTTTGATTAACTTTAAACCTTTGGAATTTTTCTTTAGTGTATTTTGCTATGATTTATATATCATATCATCACAAGTCTCAAGTCAAATTTGGGGACAATAAGGTTTAAATTCAACATTACTAACAGGTTTACTTTTTATGGTCATTTGAAAACTGGTCTCTCCTTCTCACTGAACAATGCATAATCATGTTAATGCATCATGTTAATAATGATATTTCTGTTTTCTCTACTGAATTGTTAGCGATTCTCTGGGCTTTATACTGGATAGAGGATGTAAGACCAGATAAAATCCTTATTTCTTCTGACTCAGCTGCAGCTTTACTGTCTTTAATTGGATGGAGGCTTAGATCTCGACCAGATATTTTATTGGGATTTTAATTACTTTGTTTAGAGTTGGAAAGTCAGGTTGTGAAGTCCGATTATGCTGGGTTACTGGGCATACAGGGGTCAGGGGCAATAAAATTGTGGACAGTATTGCAAAGTCATCTTTAAGGAATGAAGAAATAGATATTAAATGTCCTTATGGGAAGGTTGAATACAAAAGTAGAATCAAAGAAGGTATTGAGAGGGAGTGGTAGAATCAATGGGAAAAGGAAGTTAGAAGGAGACACTATTTTAGTTTTCAGCCCACTATTAGGAAAACCATTTATTCTTATGGAAATGACAGGGATTTATTTAAGTTCACTAGACTGAGGCTGAGGCACTGTGTGTTAAACAAATGACTGTAGATAGCAGGGAAATATCCAAATGGATTATGTCAGTGTGGTAATTCCAAGACAGTTCCACGTGTTTTGATAATCTGTAGGAAGGAGAGAAGTAAATTATTTTAAAATTTATCTGATTTAGGGATCTCTTGCTTTTTCTTGCTACATTGCTTGGTCAACCTGAGTACCACCAATTGATTGCAAGGGCTGTTATTCAATTAAAAAACAAAAAAGAGCATATACTCAAGGTTATAAATGAATGTTAGACTAAAGACTGTGGGGGGCAGTAATATGCCGAGTTGCCCTACACTGCCTTGGATTACAGAAGAAGAAGAAGAAGAAGAAGAAGAAGAAGAAGAAGAAGCAGCTGTGACGTTTCTTGTTGTGTCTTCCTTTTTGTCGTGTGGTGGTTGCTTTGTAAGTGGTATTGCTCTAAAATTAATTTATCAGATGGCCATAATTGTAATTTTATCTTTTGTTCGATAAATATAGTGTTCTGAATTCATTTGTGCTGACTTTCTACAGTATACCGGCGGTTAGAGAAGCGAAGCAGCATTGTTTTTTCCCCCCAACAGCGTTGTTGAGCCCGGTCAACCTGCTAGCAACTTGTTAGCTCTAACATGAATAGCTAGCTGGCTAGCTTGTTTTATTAACTAACATAGCTAATTTGTTTAACCATAGAGGTTATGTGTCTCCCAAAGAACTTACAGCAGTAACTCGAGTGTTAAACACTTACTTAAATAATTTGTTGCTTAGTTTGACTGTTATTTAGTGCTTAATGACTGGACACAGTTTATGCATCAGCCGGAGAATTGGTGATTTAAAACGTGCCAATTTATCTCAAGGGCACTCGTAATTGTAGATGTCGTAACACTACAATCAAAACATTTGTAAATTATAAGAGATATTCCCCTACCATCGTATGGATGTTTTCAGCAGCAGAGCCTGTTGCGTTTCTTGCACGTTAATTTCAGATATAGAGGTGAGAAGAGTTAGAGGTGGACTTGATACTCGTGGCTATTTTCACTACTGGTTAATCTGCTGATTTTTTTCCAGTTAATTTTTTTCTGTAAAATAACAGCAAATAGTAAAAATGCCTGTTATAAGTTCCCAGTGACAACAGACCATCACAATTTGCCACAGACCAGTGACAGCTTTCCATTATCTTGTTTAGTCTGATGAATAGCCCAAATCTAAATCTGTTCAGTTTCTTCTCAGCTGAGACAAAAACATAAATACATTTTTTTTTTAAATTAAATCCTCATATTTGAGAATCTAGAAGCATCAGATTTTGGTTAAAAAAAAATGCTTGAGACTGTTTATCAAAATAGTGTCTGATTATCTGTGTTGCAGCCCCACTTACATCAGGAGCTGCCTGCTTCTAACTTTCCCATCATCCTTGTGGAACAGTGTTCTCGGGTCTAGGTGTGTACTGTTTCAAACATTACTTGGTTTTCAGTTTTTGTATTCTTTCATGTGCCACAGTAGTGCCATCCAAGATGACAACAGCTGCAAGACCAACATTTGAGCCGGCAAGAGGAGGGAGAGGTAAAGGAGAAGGTGATTTGAGTGCCCTGTCCAAACAGTACTCCAGTCGAGATCTTCCGGGTCACACCAAGATCAAATACAGGTCAGTAGATCAGTTTTTGGGTGTAGTCAGTGTGCTGCAGGGTGCACTACTGGCTGGTTAGCCATTACTGAGGTACAGTCAGTAAGATACATTCTGAACTTTGTCAACTCTATTTTCTATCTGCTCCCCCTGAAGGTGGCTATATACTGGAATAATTTGTAATCCCTTTTTTTTCCTCCAAATGTTCTCCCAACCACAGGCAACCTACCCAAGATGCTCCTGAGGAAGTGCGTGCCCGTGACTTCCGCAGGGAGCTGGAGGAGAGGGAGCGAGTAGTTGTACGTGACAAAACCAGAGAGAGGGCACCAAGAGGTTGGTCTTTGTTCAAGTATTAGACCTAATGTTTACAAATGACTTTTTTTTACATTTCTGACCAAAAGTATACAACCACTTAAAATACTGCGCTGATCCTAATTTTCCAGAGCACACCACATCATCGTCATCTTCGTCATCATCTTCAAAAAGACCCAGGCTGGATCAGATTCCAGCAGCCAACCTTGATGCTGATGACCCTCTCACTGATGTAAGTGCTTGCACTGCAGGCTTTGGCTGACACTTGGTGATTAACCCTCATTGAGCTCCCTCACCAATAATGCTTGGTTATTTTTTATAGGATGATGAGGATGAGGACTCTGAGGAGGACAGTGATGATGATGATGACACAGCAGCTCTTCTGGCAGAACTGGAGAAGATCAAAAAGGAGCGGGCTGAAGAGCAAGAACGCAAAGTAAAGTATCTCTTCAGTCTGATGTGTATGTTCCTGCTGTTTGACAAGACCCGGGATGAACGCACAATCAGCGAATTAAGACATGGGTTACATTTGAGAGGAGCCAAATGCTACTTCTATTTGTTTAGTGAATGTGTTTTTTCATCTTAGGAGCGGGAGCGAAAGGCAGAGGAAGAGAGGATTCGCATGGAGAACATCTTGAGTGGAAATCCACTGATTAATTTGGCAGGCCAGCAGCAACAGATTAACCAGAGTCAGACTACATTCAGGGTCAAGAGAAGGTATCTGATGCACACATAAACACGTGCATAATATGAGTGTTTTGTTTGTCTAAAAAAATTGCCTTCAGTTACCACTGGTCCTCATCAGTTAATTTGTTCATATCTTTCTAGGTGGGATGATGATGTTGTGTTCAAAAACTGCGCCAAAGGTGTGGACGAGGCACGGAAGGAGAAGCGCTTTATTAATGACACACTACGCTCTGAGTTCCACAAGAAATTTATGGAAAAATATGTCAAATAAAGGACTTTTTGTGTTCATTTTATTTTATTTTTTTTAAATCTGATTTCTTTGGTCTCCATTTTCCAGTTGCTCTGTCTATTGGTAAATGGCATTCAAATGCATTTGTATCTGTATAGTCAACAGATAAAATGCTACATGTATATATAAAGTTGGCAAGTTAATCCTTTGATTTAAATTGTTAAACATGATTAAGCAAGTGGTTTTTTTGTTTTACAATTTCAATAAATGTGTTTAAAGTGATTTGTAGCAATTTCTCTGAAAAAGATGGATAGTCATAATGCATAATTACCTGTCGAGATATACTGTGTATATATGTGTGTGTGTGTGTGTGTGCAGGTGAAGTCAGAGGTTTCCATCCACCTTAGCCAAATACATTTAAACTCAGCTTTTCACAACTCATTTAATCTCATAAACATTCAATGTCTTAGGCCAGATCACTACTTTATTTTAAGAATGTGAAATGTCAGAATAATAATAGAAAAAATATTTATTTCAGCTTTTATTTCTTTCATCACATTCCCAGTGGGTCACAGGTTTACATACACTCAGTATTTGGTAGCTTTGCCTTTAGATTGTTTAACTTGGGTAAAACGTTTGGGGATGCCTTCCACAAGCTTCTTACAATATGTTGCTGTAATTTTTGCCCATTCCAACTGACAGAAGTGGTGGAACTGAGTCAGGTTTGGAGGCCTCTTTGCTCACACACTCTTTGTCACTTCTGCTCACAAATGTTCAATTTGACTGAGATCAGGCCTTTGTGACAGTCACTCTGATACTGCGACTTTGTTGTCCTTAAGCCATTTTGCCATAACTTTGGAAGTCTACTTGGGGTTGTTGTCCATTTGCGATCAAGCTTTAACTTCCTGGTTGATGTCTTGAGATGCTGCTTCCATATATCCACAGAATCGTCCTTCCTCATGTTGTCATCTATTTTGTGGAGTGCCTCAGTCCCTCCTGCAGCAAAGCACCACCACAACATGATGCTGCCAGCCCCATGCTTCGCAGTTGGGATGGTGTTCATCAGCTCCTCCTTTTTCCTCCAGACATAACGATGGTCATCATGGCCAAGTAGTTCAAGTTTTGTTTCTTCAGACCAGAGGACATTTTTCCAAAATGTACGATCTTTGTCCCGATCTGCAGCTGTAAACTGCAGTCTGCCTTTTTTATGACGGTCTTGGAGCAGTGAGCAGCCTTTCAGGCTGTGCCGACATAGGTGTTGTTTTACTGTGGACACAGATACTTTGGTACCTGTTTCCTCCAGTGTCTTCACAAGGTCCTTTGTTGTTGTTGTTGTTCTGGGATTGATTTGTGCTTTTTGGACAAAAGTGCATTCATCACTAGGAGACAGAACACATCTCCTTCCTGAGTGGTATGATGGTTGGTTGATGATGGTTGATTCAACAGTATGTTAAGCATTATTATTATTTTTTTTTTTATGATCCAGAACAGAGTGAACCATTTCAGCACATCATTTTCAGGAATCTGGTGTGTTTCCCCACACAGTTGAATTTAAATCTAAAGAGCAGCTTCTCTGTTCATATTCCTTTACCCATACGCAGTACAGACAGTACAGATGATAACCTTATGCGGTAATATAATATTTATATGTAAATTCCAACATGACTATGATTTATAACTCAATAAAATTATATTTCTATGATTAAAAGTTTTGAGATGTTCAAACCTTTTCAATGCTTACATTTGGATGCACAATCAGTGCAGAATGAAGTTACATTAAAATATACTGCAGTGAGTGTGGTATATTTTCAGTTTTCCAGGAACAAGTAGATAAACAGTGTGACATTCTTTGGTTTGTTAAGCACACTGTGGTTTACCCTTAAATTACTGGTAACCAGTAACAGCAGTTACACAACAACAGCAAAATACCAAAACATAAGAGAGCAGTGAAGGCACCATGGGAGCAGTGGACACTGGAAACTAGGAAACAGCCGGCAGGTGGCGCCATCTCCAACAATAGCCTCTTTGTGGCCAAGAGGATTTGGGAGGCTGCTGGGAAAAAATGGCAGCTTCCTTTTGTTTGTGGGGATTTACCGAAAGGGCTTCTAAAGCCGTTCTTTACTAAATACACGAATTTTCCATCGCAAACTCGGGGTTCACGCTACCAGTTATCCTGGTTAGAGGAAACATGGAGAAGAGCGGGAGCATCGACAGCCTGGGCTCGAAGCGCTCCTCTTCCCGACAGCCAAGTGTTGATTCATTGTCCAGGTAGCTAAACTCACCAAAAACACATCGAACCTTTCAGCTATCTGAAAGGTTCCTAAGTTATAGAATGTTATTTATTTAGGCTAAAAATGACGTGTCTAATCCTGGTACACTGTGTGTAGCCTTCAGAAGTGAGTGTTAAAACCACAAACCGCTGAGGTAATCCGGTTAACCACCTGACATGAGACGAGCTCCAGAGCATCGTTAACGGTCCATGTCATTGTCAGTTGTTATCCATTAGTTATGCGTTTGAACTGTGATGTGAATAAACGAAGTTACCAGAGCCCAGAATAATGGTATATTTTGTTCATTCAGCCTGACCAACTGCTAAAAACACTGAAAGAGCTCCTTGGGTTAACAGGGTTGATCTGGAAGTTACTGGTTTTCATTCATCTGTGGAACATAGGAAAACAGAGTAAAGGTGCTCATCACAGCATAACTTCAAGTTGCTTGGTTTGTCTGAGCATCAGGCAACAACTCAGATATTCCTTTTGCAGTATTGTAAAGCACAACCTACAGATGCTCAAATCTGAGAAGCTGCAACAAGAGAGTGCTTGGCATTGCATTATTAGTTCATTGTCACTATTGGTAATTGGTCATTTTCTACAAACTAACTGATAAATTATTGTTTCACCACTAATATATGAAGTCATATTACATATGGTTAATTCAGTTTGACCACTGAGAAAGTAAAAGAAATGTATTGTTGGACTTGTGAGGCTGCAACAAAAAAGTTGTTGGTATTTTTCAGTTATTGAAATTTGGATGATGACATTTTTGTTAGTTGACTGAGTATTTAATCAAATAATGGTTTCACAGTGTCAGTGAAAAAACTGAATAATATGAGTAAGAAGATGAGAAGTGGCTGTGATATTTTCTTTTATCATTTGTCACCTCATCTCTCAACAGTACATCCACCTCTCGGTCTGACCGCTCTGCCCAGGCCAAGCCACCCTCTGTGATGTCCTCTGACTCTGCAGAATTTTCCCCAGAGCTCCGGGTTAGTAATATTTATGTAATTCATGGAGTTTGTGCGGCTTCATTAACACAACAAATGATAATGACTGAAGCTTGACCTTTCTGCACCCTTCAGGTCAAGCCCAAAAACTCTGCCAAGGTATTTCATTTCATGAATTACATAGAGACGGGTGACAAATGAAAGGAAAGCTCTAAATAACTGAGTGATCTCTTGCAGGATGAGAGTGTCCCCAAGAGTGTCCCCATCCATAGGGCACAAGGGTCACTGAATGATTTGATGAGGATGAAAACAATGTGAGTCGCATGCTGTGGCTTTGCAGTCACTAGATCTCAAACCAGTTGAACTATGGGACATTTTGGACCGATGTGTAAGACAGCATCTCTCCACCACCATCATCAAAACACCAAATGAGGGAACATCTTTAGGAAGAATGATGTTCATCTCTCCAGTAGAGTCAATGCTAAGCTGCAATGAAGCTGTTCTGGTGACACATGGTGACCCAGCACCATAATAAGACTCTTTTATGTTGGGTTTTTGTTTCATTTGTCTCTCCTTTCTGATTTATACCTTGACAAATTTTATGGGGACCAGGTCAAGACACTGCCCTCGATTCAGGTCTAAGTTTCTAATATTTTCAGCAGGTGCTTAGAGAATCAGACAAAGAGGAGCCACAGTTACTTCCAAACGAAACAGTGCAGGACATGGGTATGTTTGCTCTTGGCTGCAATCACAACTCAAATCAAAATATCTTGCATGCATTAAAGGCAAAGTAGCTTTTTCCACATTAAAACAATTTGTAAAATATTTATTACACTTGACTGAACTAAAGGGTTTGTTGCATTTTTTGCTTTATTCTATAGCCCAAGATGTCACCTACTTTTGTCCTTTCATTGGAGCACTGAGGGGAACAGTGATGGTTACCAACTACAGACTTTTCTTCAAATGTATGGACAGGGTATGCTGCATGATTTTTTTCCAAGTTCTGGGAATATTTTCGCAAATCTATTTGGTTTTTTTAATGTTTATTTGGTTTCTAGGAGCCGACATTTGTGCTGGATCTGCCCCTTGGGGTGGTGAGTCGTGTGGAAAAGATTGGAACTGCATCAAGCCGTCTGGATGTGTCCTATGGGATAGTCTGCAAGGTGATTAAGCTGTGGAAATGGTCTGGAAAAGCTGTGCTGATTTTATATGGTGATTCAGATATGTACAGGTTACAGATGCATGGTAGCAAATTAGATGATAGTTACATAGGGCACAATCTGAGCCACAGAGATGAACCTCTCATCTTTGCTATATACAGGTGCATCTCAATAAATTAGAATATTGTGGAAAAGTCCATTTATTTCAGTGATTCAACTCAAATAGTGAAACTCATGTATTATATAAATTCAGTACACACAGACTGAAGTAGTTTAAGCCGTTGGGTCTTGTAATTGTGATGATTTTGGCCCACATTTAACAAAAACCCACCAAATCACTATCTCAATAAATTAGAATACCTCATAAGACCTATAAAAAACATTTTTAGTGAATTGCTGGCCATCGGGAAAGTATGTTGATTTAATATATATGTACTCAATACTTGGTAGGGGCTCCTTTTGCTTTAATTACTGCCTCAATTTGGCGTGGCATGGAGGTGATCAGTCTGTGGCACTGCTGAGGTGGTATGGAAGCCCAGGTTTCTTTGACAGTGGCCTTCAGCACATCTACATTATTTTGTTTCTCATTTCTCATTTTCCGCTTGACAATACCCCATAGATTCTCTATGGGGTTCAGGTCTGGTGAGTTTGCCGGCCAGTCAAGCACACCAGAATATTCCTCCAGACTCTAGGACCTTGGTCTCCAAATGAAATACAAAACTTGCTCTCATCTGAAAAGAGGACTTTGGACCACTGGGCAACAGTCCAGTTCTTCTTCTCCTTAG